ACACCCATATGCTGCTTTGGAAAATTGTAGCTATTACTGTTCTTCTGACCCTTCCCACAGACTGTCTCTTTGTAAACTTTGAAGAGCCTGTCTGTATCTCTTGTAGTTGAAAATTATTTCATTAAGAACACAACAAGGATTTTTTTTTTATCTGTTTGTGATACTCTTTCTGCGTGTTTTGTCTTCTTGGGTGTTGGAGGCCCTTCTAAATTGGTGATTCTCAGAAGCATGTTCATGTTGCGTAGTTACTCTAAAGTAGCCCCCTGGGAACTTGTCAGTAAGTAGGGCTTCTCTTTAGGTAACAGGCAGAATAGGCAAATAACTCATTCCTGGGGTTGAGTCAAGTGTCAGATTCTGCAGGACTTTTTCTCTGGAAGCATCCAACTTCTCTAGAGCAGCACATGTGTTGGTGAAGCCTGCCCATTGATATTTGGGAAAATAGGAAGAGTTGCGAACTGGAAATCTCATGTGGAGTATCTAGACTTGTACTTAAGCCTCCAGACTTCAAAGAAAAAAACTAGTGAATAAATAAATAAAATGAGCTACCAGATGATGGTCAAAATATTACCTTTAGCCGAGCGGCGGTGGCGCACGCCTTTAATCCCAGCACTCTGGAGGGCAGAGCCAGTCGGATCTCTGTGAGTTCGAGGCCAGCTTGGTCTCCAGAGCGAGATCCAGGACAGGTACCAAAGCTACACAGAGAAACCCTGTCTTGAAAAAACAAAACAAGCAAACACCTTTATTGCTAATCACACTGAGGATGGGATTGTAAGCAAGTCACCAGCTGGTGTGTGTGTGTGTGTGTGTGTGTGTGTGTGTGTGGTTTTGTTTTGTTTTTTGGTCAGTAGCCAACCAGGGTGAGCATGGGCAGGAAAGGAGAGGTCAGACCTGACCATCTGTGACTGGTTCCTTTTATACTGGTGAGGCAGAGGACACGTTAGGGCTGGGGGTGTGTTACAGTGGCTGTTCCTCCTGGAAACATCAGGAACAGTGAAGAAGTGAAATTTGGTTGAACTGAACAGATGAATGGACCCAGAGCTGTAATCGGAACCTGTACTCGTTCTGTTTGCTTCCTACCCCAGCGAGCAGAGTCCATGACCCACTTCTGCCCTTCCTGTTCTCTTGATTATCCAGAGCCTTCTTTTTGAGGCTTGCACTTCAATTTTCATTCTGAAGCAGTCTCTTGCCAGACCGCTGAAGAATTCATGGTTTGCTAGCTCCATACAACAGAATGTAAGAGGGGCCTTTGTTGTCCTGTGAACTTCCTGTTTTGTGTCAGGAACCCTCCTTCTAGGAAGGGGGCAGCCAGCGGCAGAGTGTATGAAGACTTCTTCACGGGAACATTAGCCTTTGTTGAATAACTGGGTTTAAAAGCACCTCTAGGCCTGCACTCGCCTGCAGTCCCAAGATGAGTCAGAGCTAGACCCCAGGCAGCCTTTTCAGTGGGTGGGGGTGGGGCTGAGTACCTGTAAGTGAGTCTTCCTGGAGTCATGGCTCTGACACACAGGACAGATTTCAGAAGTATGGGCTGGGAGAAGCTTCCCAGTGCTGGGAAGAGGCCAGTGATCTCACACATTTTCTGTAGTGTTTCTGGGTATGGTTTTGTTTTTTGGTTTTTTTTTTTTAAGATTTATTTATTTATTATGTATACAGTGTTCTGTCTGCATGTATGCCTGCAGGCCAGAAGAGGGCACCAGATCTCATTACAGATGGTTGTGAGCCACCATGTGGTTACTGGGAATTGAACTCAGGACCTTTGGAAGAGCAAGCAGTTCTCTTAGCCGCTGAACCATCTCTCCAGCCCCATCTGGGTATGTTTTTAAAGAAGGCTGAGTGAGGCTTGGACTGTCTGAAAGAGATGTCCTTGTAGGTCACTGTGGGAAGCAGAAGTCTGATCAGAACACCTGCTTTTGGTGTTCTCTCTCTCATGGAGTGGCTGGCCTGCAGCTGCCTTGTGGAGTCTTTTAGAGCAGCTTTGCTTAGTTTTCTGGGAAACTAGACTTGTAGTATAAGAAGGGCTCTTGTATAGACAGCTCCCCTTCCCTCTGAGGTGCCAAAGGGCCCAGTAGGAAAGAAATGGACAGAATTGTGTAATACTTAAGCTGTATTCCCCACTCTCTTCACCGTTTGTGACCTTTGATACTGTGTAACGATGAGCAATGCTGTAGGACCTGTCCGTCATCCGTTCTGTGGACCGGACAGGTTTGGGGTTTGCTTTTGGACTAGTTTCTGTATGTGTCTATAGTGCCATCTGCTGGCCGTAGAGGTGCTACAGAATCTTGATGGTGGAAGTTCAGAAGTCTGTGTGTTTGTCCCTGCTAAAGTCGGACTGTATTTGCCCTAAGTATCCTGAACAAGAGAAACGTCTCAGCCAGCAGTGGGGGAGAAGCAAGGGGTCCTCACACTGTTTATAGCTCGGTATCTGTCTCTCTGTCTTCTATGCCCGTCGTGATACCTACCTGAAGGTGCCATGTAGTCTGATGGAGAAAGATTGTCATAGCACACTGCCCTCTTTTCCATAGGTACACAGCAGAGGTAAGATCGGTAAGGTCAGGCTGGGCCCTGGTGGCGCACACCTTTAATTCCAGCACTCGGGAGGCAGAGCCAGGCAGATCTCTGTGAGTTCGAGGTCAGTCTGGTCTACAGAGCGAGATCCAGGAAAGGCACCAAAGCTACACAGAGAAACCCTGTCAGGGGGGCGGGGAGGATTGGTAAGTCAGCCTGTGATTAATTCAGCACAGATATTGACAGGGCCCTAGCATCTGTTTCTTCCTGGGACCCGGGGCCCATTACAGCTCTTTGTAGGTCCTTTGCAGCCATCTCTGAGGTACTTAGTACTCAGTCAGATTCTGGTTCTGCTGAGCGTGTGGCACAGCCATGGAATCCTGGGCTTCACCAGAAAGGAGTTTCAGTTATAAATAAGAAGTTTGTAGTCTAGTTTAGTTTTGTTCCTTAATTTCATTTGTAATAGAACCGCACACCAGCCAGGCCTGGAGTTGCTGGAGGCCTTGCACAGGATGGGAAGGAGGGGTGACTTTGTTGACCCCTGTCTGCAGCCTTGTCTGGACTGGCCCCATTTGTGTTACCTTAGCGGAGTGGCAAGCCAGGCAGGAGCAGTGGAGACCTTCCCTCTTCTCCTTGGTCTTAGCTTCAGTTTTAGCCCCTGCACTGAGTGAGTTTCAGAACAGCCAGGGCTTTACAGAGAAACCCTGTCTCGAAAAACAAAAAAAGGAAAGAAAGGATGTGCTGGGACACTCTAGGGGGTGGGTCATGGCTCTCTTTTGATCTTTTTTCAAAACAGTTTTATTTTTATGTGTTTTATGTGTCTGTTTGTAAATGCGTTTATTGCATGCCTGGTGTCTATGGGAGCCAGAACAAGCATCTGATACCCTGAAACCGGAGTTATAGGCTGCTGTTAGCCGCCATGTGGGTCCTGTAAGCTTAACACTGGTCCTCTGCAAGAACAGCAGCAATTACCTTTTAATGGCTGAGCTGTCTTTGAGCTCCTGGGGCCACAGCTCTCTGTCTGACATAATCAAAGCCTGGGCCCTGATGGTGTGGGTGGAAGGAGAGGGAAAGTTCCGCCAGGCGTTCAGTAGGGAACTTTCCTTCCATGGCAAGCTTTCAGACTCACTGAATGTCTTGCTCTGGCACCTCTTTTAAATACTCTGCCACTCATCGGTTCTGTCTGAGTAGGTTTGGAGAAGGGGCAGGGCTGTGACCTGCCTTCAGATAGATGCTCTTCAGTACCCATATGAACTAAAGATAGTGCCTTACTGTCTCACGGCATCAGAGGGAGCAGCCTAGGAGAGGTCAGCACTGGCCCAGAGCAGATGGTGTTAACGCAGTGTCTGAAGGCAGAGTGGGGCCAGGGAGGGAGAGTTCCTTAAAGAGGAAGGAGCAGGTGTCAGACCCCGAGCAGAAGGCCAGGGACATCTCAAGACTGGCCTCAAAGCCCCCGTCAGTGCTGTCTTTAATTGTCAGAGTATGCCTCAGATTTCTTCTAGAATTGGGTACTGGAGAGATGACTCAGAAGTTAAGAGTACTCTTTCAGAGGACCCGGGTTCAGTTCCTGCCACCCACATCAGATGGCTCATAACTACCTGTAACTCCAGCTCCAGGAGATCTAAATCCCTCTCCTGCCCTCCATGGATACCCACACATAAGACACACACACACACACACACACACACACACACACACACACACACATACACACACACACACACACACACACACACACACACACACACACACTTAAAAATAAATCTAGGGGTTGGGGATTTAGCTCAGTGGTAGAGCGCTTGCCTAGCAAGCACAAGGCCCTGGGTTCGGTCCTCAGCTCTGGAAAAAAAAAAAAAAAAAAAAAAGACAAAACAACAAAAATAAATCTAAAAAAAGTTCTTGTACAGTGAATTGAAAGCACTCACAGACTAGGCTGATAACGGGCAACATGAGCTCCCTGGTGTCACAGCCTTCGTGGTAGTTTAGTTTCCCAGGTGCTGTGCCAGCCGCCAGCTCTGAGCAGCTGAGAAGAATCACTTTCTCAGATGGCTTGAGATGGGCCAGTGGGGACTGAGAACAGAAGTGAGCCGAGCCCTGGCAAAAAGAGCCAGGTTTCCAGTCAGTTGATAGCAGCCTAGGCTGGCTTTGAATTCACGATCCTCTGCCTCTGCCTCCTGAGTGTCGGGATTAAAGATGGATGCCACCACACCTGGCAGCATGTCGTTTAAATGTCTGGTTATGAGAAACTTCAAGGGTAAGCAGGAGCCCCAAGTCTGCACAAACCCCATGTCTGACCCCCCACGGCAGCAGCATGTCCTCTAAGCCTGAATATTGTCGTGGCCCGCCCTCCCCGTATGCTCTAAAGAAATCCTGGAGTGACTTCATCAGGCCTCCCTTGTAACGGATCAACCCAGGGTTCTGGCGTCTGGAATGATTGGGTTCACTTTTATTTTCTGAAGAGCTGCTGACTCTTTCCTCTTTGTCTTGCTTTCCAGTGGGAAATTAGTGTCTCCAAAGTGGAAAAACTTCAAGGGCCTGAAGCTCCAGTGGCGGGACAAGATCCGGCTCAACAACGCCATCTGGCGGGCATGGTACATGCAGTGTAAGTGTGTTGTCAGCCTGGCAGGGGGTGTGCAGTGTCAGAGCTCTGCATCTTGGAGGCCTGAGCACTTTGAGTCTATAGCCTGCTCTTAAAAGATGTCTATAGCAAACTATTTCCTGAGCAGCCTGTGCTAGGAAACCAAATGATAATACATTCCAGGGACCAGGGCATTCACCAGCCATCAGGCAGAGTCAGCCAACAAAGCCTAGAGTCTGGAGGGACAGATGTGTCCCTGACCACAGTGTGAATAGTGCATGCTGGGTACTTGGGCCCTAAGGAGTGAGGGGTTCTTTTCAGAGAGTTGGGAGAATGTAGCCAAGAGGTGACATTGGAAGAGCCACAGAGCAGTTTCTGTTTCCAGCAGGTTAAGAAGACATGGGTACCACTGTAGAGCTCTTATTCCTGGCTAGTTTGAGGATGGGGGGATGCGGGCTTGAGGAGCAGAGCGGACTCTCCTGCCTTTGTGTTGATGAGCAGCTCTATTTCTTACTTAGATATTACTGGCATTCTTTACCTTGGGCCTGCATGCTGCTGCTCTTACTTCTCAGAGCTCTACATTTGTCCAGCAGAAGAAGGGAAGACCACTTCCGGGTGTGGCATTTCGGGTTAGAGCTCCTTCAGGGTCTTAGGGTGTCTTCTCTCTCCTCCCAACCCAGATCTGGAGAAACGCAAGAACCCTGTGTGCCACTTTGTCACCCCACTGGACGGCTCTGTTGACGTAGATGAGCATCGCCGGCCAGAGGTGCTTACCAGCAAGTGACTGAAGAGGGCCGGAGGGGTGTGTGTGTGTGTGTGTGTGTGTGTGTGTGTGTGTGTGTGTGTGGTGTGTGTATGCTGGGAATCCTGCCGGAAACAACCCACCAAAGGGCCACATTCTGCGGGAGAAACTGTGTGGAATAGGGGAGCCTGAGCTGTGCTCCAGTTGATGTGACCTCCCGCGGTCCCAGCCTCCAGGAGACTGTCTAGACAAGCTGACCATGTGGGGCTGCATTCTCTGCTTTCAGTTAAAATTGGTATTTCTTCTGAGAGTTAGTCGGGGAAGGCTGGCTCCGAGGCAGATAAAGCAGAGCACACACACAACCACTCAGGAAAGTTAGAAGTCAGCGCTCTTCAGCTCACACTGGATACAGCTCAGCTGGCGGAGTGCTCTCCTAGCACGCCAAGCCCCCACTTCCGTCTCCAGCACCACATAAAGTCGGTGTGGTGTCCGAACCTGCAGTCTTAGCGTGCGCGTGGGAGGTGGAGGCACGGAAATCAGAGTTCTAAGTCATTCTTGCTAGATAGGGAGTTTGAGGCCAGCCTGGCCAAATGGGACCCTCTCTGAAAAAACGGGATGAAAAGAGGTTGAAGAAAGAGTGGTTTATTTTATTTTTGTATTTTGTTTTATTATTTTGGTACTAAGGATAGAATCCAGGATCTCTTACATGCCAGGCAAGTGTTTTACCATTGAGCTATACCTCCTTCCCCAAAAGACTAAATTAAAAATTTTAAAACTAGCCGGGTGGTGGTGGCGCACGCCTTTAATCCCAGCACTCGGGAGGCAGAGCCAGGTGGATCTCTGTGAGTTCGAGGCCAGCCTGGGCTACCAAGTGAGTTCCAGGAAAGGCGCAAAGCTACACAGAGAAACCCTGTCTCGAAAAACCAAAAAAAAAAAAAAAAAAAAAAAAATTTAAAACTAGATTATTTGTTTTCTCGTGTGTGTGTGTGTGTGTGTGTGTGTGTGTGTGTGTGTGTGTGTGTGTGTGTGTGTCACAGCTTACGTGTGGAGGTCAGAGGACAACTTTTGAGAGTTGTTGCCTTTTATCATGTGGGTCCCAGGGATCGAACTCGGGTCGTCAGGCTTGCCGGCAGGCGCCTTTACTTTCTCACACCCCTCTTCTCACACTTTGAGAGCGTGGCAGGTGCTGCTGGAAGGGGGCACTTGCAGGCCACTTGTGAGTTTCCGAAGCATCCTCAGGCACGGAGGAAGCAGTTCCCCGCTCCTCTCTGAGTACCGTGTGCAGTCACCCTTGGTGTTGGGGTGCTGAAGAGACATTTTTGGCTAGGGTCCAGGTTGGAGCTCAGCGGAGAGGAGGCGCCCAGGGAGTGAAGCTGTCGTCTCTGAAGCAGCATTGGGGCTTTCTGACCTGAGACCCACCTGAGGCCTCTTCAGTGATAGATACTGGGTATTCATGGGCTGCGATTGAATCACCACCCAAGACCTGCTTTTCATTTCGGCCTCTTGGTTGTAGGCCATCACCACAGAGGGCAAATACTGGAAGAGTCGCATTGAGATTGTGATTCGGGAGTACCACAAGTGGAGGACCTACTTCAAGAAAAGGGTATATGTTGGCAAGCGCTCCCCAAAGAGTGTGTTCTGGAAGCTCTGGGGCAGGGGTTGGGTAGGCCAGAGATGGAACAGTATTCAGAATGTGGCCTGAGGCCCTGGGCTCCACAGCTGCCCCAGCAGTCACGGAGCATGATGTGGGAATACTGTACCCAACACCAAGCAGTGGCTGTGCTTTCCTCAGCCATGAAGAGGGCTGTTTCCTCCTTCGGGCCCCATTCACGGGATGGCAGCCAGCGGGATCCCACTCCCCAACTCCCCGCTTCCCATATAGCTCCCTGGCATCCACGGAGGCGAAGCTAGGGCACCCGGGTTCCTGGTGGCCGCCTCACTTGCCCCCTTTGCCCACAGCTGCAGCAACACAAGGATGAGGACCTCTCGAGTCTGGCCCAGGTAAGTGAGCTTGGGAGCCCTGTCTGGACAAGATGTGATTTCTGTACCCCAGTGAGTCCTACAGTAGAAGGCCAGACCCACAGCAGCTCCTTCTCCCGTGGAGGTCCTGCAGGAAGCAGGCACACTCTGCTGGGTAGGCTAAGGGAGTAGCTCTGAATGCCTCCACCCTCTCGCCTCTGTGACGAAGCAACCCTTTAATGAGTGCCAGGACGGAGGATAATAAATCCAAGCCTCTTGACTCTTCTTTCCCTCCTGGCCAGGATGATGACATGCTCTATTGGCACAAACATGGAGATGGTTGGAAAACCCCAGTCCCCATGGAGGAGGACTCACTGCTGGACACAGACATGCTCATGTCAGAATTCAGTGACACCCTCTTCTCCACACTTTCTTCACACCAACCAGTGGCCTGGCCCAACCCGCGGGAAATAGGTACTAGTCTCTGTCCTTGGACAGCTGGCTTGCTTCTCTGGGAAGATTCCTCTAGGCCAGGCTTTCTTTAGGGCACCTCTGAGCTTGGTACTTATTTAGGCTAGCAAGGGAAAAGAGAAGGCTTACCCAAGCCCCTTGTCTGAGGTCCTGTGCAGGTGCATGAAAGACTGGAGGTGGAGCCTGGCAGGCGTGGCCATTCTTCTCTTAGTCCCACCATGAGAAAGCAGCAGCTCTGATCGGAACCCGTTCAATGTTTCTGATACTGTTCTCGTAGTGTGGGATGTGTCCGATGAGTACTACACTCATGACGTCCCTCCTGGAAGCCTTCAGTCCTCCAGGTCCTCAGGGCAGGGCCGCAGCTGAAAACCGAGCAGGGGCAGAGGCTGTGGGGATGTAGAGTGGGGTGCAAGGTTGGGACTGCTCGTAGCTCCCAGCTTCATGATGATCCTACTCTGCCTGTCTTTCCTGGCTTCTGAGATCGGTGAGGACATGGCTATCGAAGAATGGCCACAAACCCCCAAGAATGGAGAAATGCTGGTCAGCTTCCTGTAGGAAGTTCTTGGAAGATTCTAGAATGGGTAGGGTCGGGGGGATCTGTTCCAAAAGTAGTTGTATATTTTCCTTTGACCTTAGTTGAGGTAAAATGATTCTCCTCTCTCACTTGTAACTCTTGCAGCACATTTGGGAAATGCAGACATGATCCAGCCAGGCCTGATCCCTTTGCAACCCAACCTGGACTTCATGGACACCTTTGAACCTTTCCAGGGTGAGGGCAGAGGGGACACGATACTTGGATCTCCCTTGCCCATCCCACATCAGACTGGTGCCCCTGGTAGAGAGGACGGTTGGAGATGGGTGTAAAGGAAAGGCTTAGAATTTTTCAAAACTGAAATTTTTTTCATAACAACTGCCAAGCCTGGGGAGGTTTCCTGGGGCACTGGAAGGAAGTTGGCCAGCATTCTGAGTGCTTTCTTCCTGCTGGGAGCAGGCGCTCCGCCGTGACTGTGAGCAGCTCCTGCTCTGGACAGCAGAGGGCGCTGTGACACAGCCACTTCCCTGGGAAGTGCCCGAGGTTGTTAGGTCGGCAGCAGAGGGCGCTGTGACACAGCCACTTCCCTGGGAAGTGCCCGAGGTTGTTAGGTCAGCTCCCGAGCTCTGCCACTGTCCAGGTCTGAACACTGGTATTTCAAATGGTCCAGTCAGAATCCTCCTTCTATAGAAAAAATCATCTTGTGGGGGGGCGGTGAGGTGGGGTTCAGGCCCCTGGTTATGTGCCATCATTTGCAGAAAACGGTAAGCTCATGGACTTCCAAAGACTCCCATGTTCTTTTTCAGATCTCTTCTCTTCCAGCCGATCCATTTTTGGCTCCATGCTGCCTCCACCTACGTCAGTACCTGCCCCAGATCCCAGCAGCCCACCTTCTCAGGTAGAGGAAGGTGGGGGCTCAGGCATGGCAGGTACAGGGCTGTCGTCAGCTTCACAGCCAGAGCTAGGGTAATGCTGTGACCATGAGTTGACAACACGCTGGGGCCATTGCTGGATCCCTGCTGCATGCATGTGCATGTGCAGAGACGTTATGGGACCCTCTTTGAGCATCTTAACTCCCCACCAGGTGGGAGACTATACCAGCAAAACTGTTTTCCTACCTGAGGTCAAGATCCCACGAAATCTTGTTCAGTCAGCTCTTTTCTTTCTTTTTTTGTGAGGGTGGGGGTTGTTTTGGTTGTGTGTGTGTGTGTGTGTGTGTGTGTGTGTGTTCATTGGTGTTTTGCTTGCATGTATACCTGTGTGAGGATGTCAGAAGCCCTGCAGCTGGAGTTATACAGACAGCTGTGAGCTGCCATGTGGGTGCTGGGAATTGAACCCAGGTCTTCCGGGAGAGCAGCCAGTGTCTTAACTGCTGAGCCCTCTCCCCAGCCCCCAGCCAGCTCTTTTCTAAGACAAGATTAGCTACAGAAGAAAAACATGGATCACTAATAAAAATATGTTGTGTATTGTTTTTACTTTTTATGCAGCAATTAATAAAAGGTAATTACAGGTGTGAGGGCTACAGGATTGAGTAAGGCATAGTTCTCTGCTCTGGTTCAGCTCTCAAGATGGCGCTGCATTCAGTTAGTCACCCAGTAACCTGGCACCTTCCCCACCTAGCTCAGATCGTCATTTCTTCTGTAGAGCCTGAGATCTGCACAGGTGGTTCCTCATAGCCTGTCCACTCAGGAAGAGATAGCCTGACTGGAAATCGATACTTGGAGCTGTCCTGGGAGAACCCCTGAGCAGCTGTGGTCTAGGCTGCTTCTGCTCTGTAACAGAAGATGGCAGGGACCATGGGTAGACCTGGACCAGACTCTAGAAACCAGATATCCCTAGGCGTCTGTGCAGCTTTGTCTGAGCTCTGTGTTATCATTAGTTCCTAATGGAAACAAGACCCCTGCTGACACCCGGGGACACAGATCCATTTCCCTAGCAGACAGTGTGTTGGGTCTGGGAGATAGCCCTTCCATCCCTTGGCCCCTCAGTCCTCATGTCCACAGTTAGTCTTTGTGCTATGTAGTGCTAAGCAGTGAGCGCTGATTATATAGTCATAGCTTTGTTTCTTCCGTCTCTTCCGTCCTCAGGGGAACATCTTGCCAAACCCAGCTCTTCCCACCGTGAGCCTTCCCAACAGCCTCATTGCATCCTCTGCGTCCCCGTCCCTGGACCCCACAGACGGGCAGGCTTGTGAACGCACTTCCCAGACTGTGGACCCGTTTATTCAACCTGCAGACTTTGGTCCCTCTGAGCCACCACTGAGTGTCCCACAGCCCTTCCTTCCTGTCCTCACTATGACCTTGCTTTCTCCTGGCCCTGCCCCGGCACCTGTCCCAACGGCACTGCCCTTGGTTTCTCCTCCTGCCTCTACTCTGAGCCCTTCAGCTCCGCCAGCTTTCCTGCAGCCACAGAAGTTCGCTGGAGTCAGCAAGTCGACCCCTGTAATCACCCACACAGCCTCGGCCACTCTCACCCATGATGCTTCTGCCACCACTTTCAGCCAGAGCCAGGGTCTGGTTATCACAGCACACCACCCAGCCCCCTCGTCATCCCCCTGCGGTCTGGCACTGTCACCTGTACCCCAACCACCCGCTGTGGGACCTCCCCAGCCTCATTTAACGTTTATACACCCCAAACCTGTGTCCTTGACTGGAGTGAGACCCAAGCAACCCCCCAAAATAGTGCCTGCTCCCAAACCCGAGCCTGTGTCCTTGGTGTTGAAGAGTGCCTGCATTGCTCCCGGTGAGTTGGGTTAGGGTCAGAGCCTGCCAGGATGGCCTCGGGCTAATGGTTCCCTCTCGCAATGGCTTTAAATTCGTGACACCTCCCTCCCCGTTTAAATGGAACAGAGCAACGTGGATAATTCAGCATGCAGTCTGTCTTTCCGTTCTGTGCGTTTAAACATTAGTCTAGTCCTGACCTGGGTGTGGTGACACATACCTGTGAACCCAGCGTTTGAGAGGTTGAGGCAGGAAGATTTGGGGTTTGAGTCCCAGGCCAGCCAAGGCTATACAATGAGACCTTGTTTAAAGAAGCTAAACTTGGGCTGGCGAGAAGGCTCAGCAAGTAAAGACACTTGCTGCTAAGCCTGGCGATCTGAGTCCGATCCCCAGGGTCCACGTGGTGAAAGAGGAGAATGGGTTTCCACACGTGTCCTCTGACTTCCACACGTGGACTGTGACACACACACAGCCCCACAAACATACACCACACAGAGTGAACAAAATAGAACCTAAAGTGAATAAAGATGAGAACTCAGCGTGAAAACACGGTTTGAGAATGCATGGTCCTGGGCAGCTCTTCCGAGGGATTATAGTGAGACTCTTTCAAGAAAAAGGAACAAAAATATTTCAGATGCCCTGGGGCTTTGCCTGCCCCTTGCTTCACTAGCCGCATGCTTCACTAGCCGGGTATGGGGTGCCCGGGTGTTCCTGGCCGTCTGCAGCTCAGCACTTTTGACAGTAGCAGCTCCAGGGTCAGCCCCTCACTTTCACCTCTCTTCATCCCCACAGCTGCCTTCTCAGGCCAGCCGCAAAAGGTGATCATGACATCAGCCCCTCTGAAGAGAGAAGGGATTCTGGCGTCGACTGTGTCCCCATCCAACGTGGTCATTGCCTCTGCTGCCATCACCAGGGTAAGGAGAGCCAGCCTAGGCGGGCCTCTGGTGTCCATCCCTCCCTGTGGGGCCTGTTTGTGTGGCTCTCAGCCAGTGTACATGACCACCTTCCTGTGTCTCCACAGGCTTCTGGAGTCACAGAGTTCCTCAGCCACAGCACAAGCAGCCAGCCTACCCCTGTCTCTCGGCTCTTCTCCCCAAGTACAGTGCAAGACTCCCTGGTGAAGGGCGAGCAGGTCCCACTGCATGGGGGTAGTCCCCAGGTCCCTGCCACGGGCTCTAGTAAGTAGTCTCCGTTCTCCTGAGTGGGGCGGTTGGGGCTTCATGGAGGAAGTCAGCAGCATGTTCCAGGTGGGGAGGCCATTCACAGGCTCCCAGAATCAAGCCTGGCCTACAGGACCTTCAGTCTGCACAGGCTGGGGAAATGTTTACTGGGCATCAGGGTAGCTGTAGCCACACCAGCAGGACAGGTACAGGGGGGGTGGCAGGTGTTGACAGCAGGAGCAACCGGCACAGGCAGAAGGCCTGGCTCAGAGCTGCCAGCCCCATCCAAAAGGGACTGCAGATGCTTGTCAGCAGTCCAGAAAACTTGAGCCTGGGGTGGCCGTCGCTCTGAAGCCGGCAGCAGGCTCGTCACACAGTACCGTCTCTCCTAGTCTCTAAACCACTGCAGATCTGTAGCCATTTTCGTATCTCACAGCCGAGGACAGTCAGGACCGTACTGGTTTTGCCTAGTGACTTGCGGAGTCAGAAGGTCGGGCTGGAGGTGCTGCGACATAGAACTCGGGTTCCTTCCGGTGCCGTCCTGGGAAAGGAGCTAGAAACAGTATGCACGTCTTGGGCAAACAGTCGGTCACTATGTCACCTTAATGCCTTCTCTTCTTTGCTAAAACCATGGCTGCTTCTCAGCATCTTACCCAGGAGGACACGATAAGGAAGGGTTTCCAGCTAAGAGGGGTGGACTTGTCCAAGGGCCGGTTTTGAAGAAGGAGACTCTTCAGTCTGGAAAGATAGAGACTGAAGAGACAGGAGTCAAGTTTCTCAAATTATCAGGGACGGGAAGCCGGCCTTCCTGAGGGACTGCAGAATGCGACCTTGAGAGCTCTGCACTGAAGCTGTGTAATCTAGGAGAAAACAGATTAACTGGAAGCATTTGTTAGAACAAAGTGAAACAGGCCAGGGAGGCTCTAAAGGGACCTGGAAATGGTTCCAAGGGACACCAGTGAGTGGGACGTGAGCCCGTGGGGTCACAGCAGTACTCTGGTCTGCTCTGTGTGGGTCAGAAGGTGGTATACTGTTATTTAACGTTTTCAGAGCGAGTGAGAGAAAGAATAGGAAAGTATGTGTAGAACTGAACGAACCAAAATAAAGCAGATGCCAGTGTGCTGAGCATGTGAGCTATTGCCTTACAAACCCGTGAGGACCCCTGGCTGCCCTGAGGTGGCATTTTAGGGACTGGGTTACCAGTTCAGCCCTTCCTCTGAGCAATTGCTGACACCTGGAATGGGGGAGCACTCAGGTCATGTTCCACATCTGACTTGCCTGCCTCAGGGGTTGCCTTGGAAACAAGAAATCCCCTTTGGGATATGGGAAAGGGTTTCTCCAATATTCTCTCTGGGGTAGCCATAAAAGGTTCAAAATGGACTTGCACCAAGTCCCTCTGGTTGGTGAGGACCGCTGTGGGGCCAGGACAGAGAAGCCTCACTTCTTATTTTTCCAGTCCCCTTTCCCAAGGATTTGCCTGTTAAGAGAATTTTTTCCTCAGGCCGAGACTGCCCCAACTCAGGGCACGCCTCTCCCTGCCCATCAGAACAAAGTCCCAGTCCTCAGTCCCCCCAGAACACCTGCTCAGGGAAATCTACAGACCCCAAAAACGTGGCTGCATTAAAGGTATGGCTTATTTCTCTCGGGTCTTGCTTCCCTTGCGGGGATGGGGAGGGAAAGGGGAGCCACAGATCCAGCTGGCGTTGAGAACCCAAGAGCACCAAGAGTAAATTGACCAACCATTTCCCGTCCCACCACAAGCCCATGAAGATTGAGGCCTGCTCAGAGCTCTGAGTGCGCCCCGCGCCCTCCTGACATAGTAGGGTACATGCAACCTTGGCCACACCAGTTGGAAGTAGGACTGTAAGCACTGGGGTGTAGAGAAGCAGCATCGTACGTCTGGCTGCCCGGACAAGAGCACATACTGCTTCCTAGCCCATGAGTCCTGCCCACTCCCTGCTAACTCTTCCTGGAGCTTTTTCAGCCATCTGCCTCTCCTGCATAGATTTCTGGCCCCGGCTTGTCATGTGCCCCAAGACACTAGTCTTTCTCCAGCTACTCAGCGTTACGTTAGGCAGTGAGGAGGGACCCGTGGCTCGCGCAGGCCTGGCCTGTGTCTCAGTGACCAGTTGACCCCCACAGAACCGGCAGAAGCACATCTCGGCTGAGCAGAAAAGGCGTTTTAATATCAGGATGGGCTTTAACACCCTCAACAGTTTGATCTCCAATAATTCCAAGCAGGTAAGTTACCCGTGAGTGGCAAGGTGGTCCGATAGTGCATCTTTGCTGTGTGCCCCTGGCCAGCTAAGTACTGCCACCTCCCCAGACCAGCCATGCCATCACACTGCAGAAGACCATGGAGTACATCACCAAGCTGCAGCAGGAGCGGATGCAGATGCAGGAGGAGGCCCGGAGGCTTCGGGAGGAAATTGAGGAGCTCAATACTACCATCATGTGAGGTTCCACTTGAAGGCCCGCTCCCATGCATTTGTGTGTCTCAAGCAGAGGGGACCCTTGGTGGCCTTTGCTGTCTGTATCGAAGCAGTTTAGCTTCCTGTCCCCCCTCCGTCCTCTGCCATCACCTGCCACAGAGCATCCCTGACGACTGTTGTTTCAGCTCCTGCCAGCAGCTGCTGCCTGCCACAGGAGTCCCTGTCAGCTGCCGCCAGTCAGACCACATGAAGGACATGTTTGAGGAGTACGTGAAAAGCAGGGTCCTGCAGAATTGGAAATTCTGGATTGTATCCTTGGGTTCCTGCTCTTCCACTTCCCCAGTAGACAGTGCTCCCGGGCACCCCTTGAAGAGAGGTTCTCACAGTTGTCAGAGTTCAGGACTAGCAGTGCTGATTTCTGTCTGGGGAGAGAAGGTTCAGGGCGGCCCTAAGGGCTGGGGAGGCCATCCAGGAGGCTGTGCAGGAAGGGGGCGGGGCGGATGGCCTGCTTTACCCTCCAGTCTTTGGCAAACAAAGGCAGCTAGATAACTGAAGAGGAGCAAAGTGAGAAGGGAGGGACCTGACAGCCAGCCCAGTCCCCTCAGTGACAGAGAGGGCGAGCCCTACCTGCCGTGACAGGTGGAAACCAGGGCTTACTGAATTACTGGGGGGCCAGTCCCCGTGTACTGAATTACTGGGGGGCCAGTCCCCGTGTACTGAATTACTGGGGGGCCAGTCCCCGTGTACTGAATTACTGGGGGGCCAACCCCGTGTACTGAATCACTGGGGGGTCAACCCCGTGTGGTGGTATGGTTTGTTTCTTTTCTTGTTGTTACTCTTCAGATTTGTTGGGGGGTTTTAATTATTCTTTTGTGTGTGTGTGCGCGCGCGTGTGCGTGTGTGTGTGCGCACGCGTGTGTGTGCGCGTGCGTGTGTGTGTGTGTGCGTGCGTGCGTGCGTGCGTGTGTGTGTGTGTGTGTGTGTGTGTGTATGTGTGTGTGTATGAGTGCCTGCAGAGTCTGAAGAGGGTGTTGGGTCCCTTGGAGCTGGAGTCATGCTGTTGTGAGCCTCTGGACAGGAGCGCTGCTCAGGGCGATCTTGAACTCCTGAACGTAAATGATCCTCCTGCCTCAGCCTCCCAAGTAGCTATAGGCAGGGTTTGAAACCTGTTCCCTCAGATTTGTCTCTGCCTTTGTGTCCCCTGGTCTTGACTGTCATAATAAAGCATGTCCACTCAGGTGCCAGGACCTGTCTTCTGGCCGAGGCTGTTCTGATCTCAGCCTTCAAGATGGCAGCATTGTTGTTACAGCGGTTCTTGCCTGTCTGCTCTGAGCATCGTCAGCTTGTGTGACAGGTCACCCGTGGCATAGGACAGTCACTGAAAAGAGAAAGCATGGTGAGGGAGCGTGTGTGTACTGGAGAAGCCAAGTTTGTTTGTATTTTGTCGGCTTGTTGGTTTTTGAGGCAGTCTCGATTGTAGTGCGGGCTGGTCCGGAACTCGCTTTGTAGTGCAGTACTGCATACCCTCTTCCTCTTGAGTGGACCACCGTGCCTATCCCTGTATTTATAGTGAGGATGAGACTCGAGGCTCCACATACACTGTCTAGGTAAGAACTCTACCAGTGGTCCTCAGCCTGACTCAAGATGGCCGACAGCAGCCTTGTTCCCTGACTTGCTGTGTCTTACTTTCCGCCATTAGTGGAGCCTGGTGACGTGAGGAATGTGTCCGAACTGCTTCAGTAAAATGACAGACACATTCTTCATTTTCAGGCCAAAGTGGGCACTGTAGGCCTCAGAATCAGGAAAAACATTTCTGTCTCCACTGGGCCCACCCCAGGGTCGTCTGGGAGCTGCAGGAAGCCGCGAGCCTGCAGGCTGCGGACAACACAGTCAGGCCCGGCTCCAGACAGACCCTTTGCTTTTGACTGCTGTGCTCTTCATGTTCCTGTCAGCCGGCGTGGCCTCTGTCCACACAGCTGTCTCCTGGGGCTGACTGACCCGTGGTCTCCTGTTCACCCCTTTGTGTTCACCCCTGTGCCAGGCTAAGGAAACCTGCTTTTCTGCCTCTGTCTACTCAAGGTCAGTCACAGCAGGAACAAACAGTTGAGTCTCAGGGTGGGCACACCTTGCCCAGCAATAACTACTGCACCCGCCCCTTCCTCTCTGATCAGTTCTCTGTGGGCAATTACTTGCTCTTTCTGAGGGAAGTCAGCAGGTAAGCCTGGCCTGCCTGAGCTTTCCTTCTTTTCCTGTGTGCTCTTTAGCCCTCCTCAGTTCACCTTTTCCTTAACCCGAGTCCTGTAGTTCAGCATGATCATCAAGCCACTGTTCGAGTCTTTCAAGGGGATGGTGTCCACCAGCAGCTTGGAGGACTTTCACCGGACGGCGCTTTCCTGGCTGGACCAGCACTGCTCTTTGCCTGTCCTCAGGCCAAGTGAGTGTGAAATAGCAGTGTTTGGGACTTCACACCTCACCTGGGCAGTGCTGAGGAGAGTGTAGACTCCACTGCACACAGCCAGGCCAGAGGCACGAGGACACCGAAGGATCCTACACCAGAAAAGCTGTTGGAGCCGGCGTGGGTCTCTGAGCTCCTGTCAGCAGGCCTGCAGTCTAATCAAATCCAGCTTACATTTATTGAATATTTGCTGTTTGCCGGACTCTGTTTTAGGGGAACTGGGTGTTTTCTTACTTAATTCCGTATTTAGTTCTAAAGCCACAGCCATCTGTTGAGGTTAGAGAGGTTCAGTAGTAGAGCAAGAGCAGCACTCGGGCAGCAGGAACAGCTCAGAGTCCATGGGCTCCGTGCAGCCCCTGCTAGGATCTGCAGAGGCAGCGTGTGAGGCGGGCTCCAGAATGGCCCCCATCACCTTTCCTTGCAGTTGAGCTCTGGCCGCCATCCTTGATGCGTGGGAATCACTACACAGGGATGCAGGTGTGAGGTTTGCATCCTGTCACTCTGATCGATGTCCCAGGCTAACTACGGCCTTCTCTCTCCACAGTGGTACTGAGTACCCTCCGGCAGCTGAGCACCACCACCTCCATCCTGACAGACCCGTCCCAGCTGCCAGAGCAGGCATCAGAGGCTGTTTCCAGGACTGGCAAGAGACTGGGGGAATTGTAAGCGTGGTTGGCATGTGACTGCATGAGATGCCTGAAGACCCCCCCCTTCCTGACATACCACCTCAGGGCCGCCTTTGACTCCAGTGGCCCACTGCCCCTGTCAGGATGCTGTGCTCAGGTCTGAAGCAGGTTTGGGGCCTGCCCACAGCAGTATCCCATCTTGGGAACCCTTGCTGTGACCTCTCACTCAGCGACCTCAATCACCAGTCTCCCCTGCATTTGGGGTGGCCCAGACAAAGGGAAACATGGCTGTTCTGCTCCTGTCCTCCTGGTGGCCTGTTGGGGTCCAGGGCCAGCAAGTGCCAGACAAGGAGACAAAGCCGTTCCTGCAGGTGGGGATCATCCGGGGTCCCTCAGAAGTCCTTTCTTGAGACTTAGAGACTCGGCCCCTGTCACATCGTTGTCTACTTGTGCTCCTCTGGCAACCCCTGCACACTTTCTGGCCTCTGTAGCAGCAGTGAAGTCTCCATCTCTTGCCACCCTGGCAGCAGCTGACCCTCTGGGCTGCTGTTCTGACCTCTGCAGAGAGGAACGCGCCTCCTCCCTGGTGTCTTCTATTGAAGGGAAATCTTCTTCCCAAACCCTGAGCACACATGGAAAACAAAGGCTGTGGAGGCCAGCTGGCCAGGTTACGGCACAGGCCATGCAGAGCTGCTCTTCTGGCTCAGAAACCCTCCGAGCATGTCCCGTCCACTGTGTCTCGGTTCTGCCTGGCATTGCAGTCACCGTGACGTTCCCAGCGTAGCCAGGGACGTGGCCCAGAGCCTCTGAGGCCTGGCCTCACAGCTGAGGCCCTCCCGTGCCTGTTCCCCACCCTCTTCCACTTAGAAGCTGTGGAAGAGGCGCATACACTCCAGGGTCAGTCCCACTCTTGGGTCTAGCGTTCGCAGGTCACACTCCATGATGCTGCTGTCATCCTGGTCATTTTCTCTGAAGTTTGGGAGCTCCAAACCAGGACAGTTCTCAGACCAAAGATGTCATCGTACGAGAGAAGTCTGACCCGTCTTGTGTTAAGAGGAGGAAACAGAAAGCTGATGGCAGCATGCCAGAGTCGGCCCCGGAAGCTAGCTCCAGACTAGATGGCCAAGAGCTGTGCTCAGATTTGGACCAGTGAGTTTGGAGGGTGACCCGTGTCTGAAGGTTCCAGTGCCCCAGTGTGTGTGCTCCAGTTGGTAGAGACAGGGAGAGGTGGGGGAGGGCGCATTGACCCTCACCCTTCTCTTTGCTGCCTCTGAGATGCTGCAGGCAGTGAGGTACTCTCTCCAGCACTCAGGGAGCCCAGTCCAGGGCACCTCCCGGGAAGAATGTGCGTTTTGCCCTGCTGTCACACCTAGAGCAGGCAGCGGGCTTTCTTAGACTGCCCGGCCCCTCCTCACCACGCTGCCTGTCCTGGGGGGACCACGTGAAGAGGGGAGCCCAGGATGTTCCCTGAAGTTGTGACCCACGGAAGCCTGCTGAGACCTGAGGCCTGCCCTGGACTAAGTAGGTGGAGAGAAGGAAAGGGTAGGGGCTGCGGGCTGCGCCGCCATTGATGCGGTGAGTGAGCCCTGACCACACGCTTGCGCCATTGCCTGGTTTCTGTCCTGTCTGGGACAGCTTGGGGGCCCTCCTCAGCCGTCCCCAAAAACGTGTTTACAGGTTGAGGGATGAACACAAGGCACATAGGCTGGACCTTGGACTTTCCACCGGGCACCCGTTCCTTTCCCAAAGACGAGGTGAAATTGTCCTTCAGAAGGCGAAGGGCCACTGTGGTAGGAGGAAACTAAGCCGCTGCTGTGAGGGCGTCGAGAAGCCCAGCCCTTCCTCCTCACGGGCCACGGGCCACGGGCCACAGGCCACACCGTGGCCGTGAGGACTCCTGTTCTCTCCACCCTTGCTGGGGAGAAACCTTGTTTTTCAAACTCCGTGGGTATGAGATTGGCCCTATGCTTCTCTTGCCTACCTCTCCAGTTTGCTGAGTTAATCTCATCTTGTTTCATCAGATGTGTAAGGCTGTTAGATTGTGTGAAACTGGGGGTGAGAGGGGAGAGGGAGGAGAGAGAGAGTGTGTGTGTGTGTGAGTGAGTGTGTGTGTGTGTGTGTGTGTGTGTGTCCGTCCGTCCGTGTCCTGGCAGACTATCAGGTGCGTGTTTTTGTTTTGAGTGACTCCATTTCCCTTTTCTTGGTGCTCACTTTGGCCGTGGCTGTGAGGTCACAATGCTTTAAAATCTCCAGGAATGATTCTGCCTTGGAGATTTTCTTGTTTTAAAATCTTGCCTGATGAACCTGGCCAATCAGAGGGTCCTGGCCTTGACTTCTGTCCTGGACACCAAGGTCAGCATTGGAATAGCCGAGGCCACTCTGCTGGGGGTCTCCACTGGGCGCTGACCACACTGTTGGACCGGGGTTTGTTTACACTTACTTTCACTCCCATTCCTGCCCCCACTCACCAGAAGAAACTTCAAAATGTTAGCACTTTGGAGAAGAAGAATATTGGCCTAAAAGGAGAAACCACAAAGCCACCTGGGAAATCTCTGCAAGGGTTTCTGTGAAATCTTCACAAGGCATCAGCACATGTTCTGTCTGTTCTTTCACTATGAGTGGGCACTGCAGAGGCAGGGTAGCTCCGGCTGAGGGCCTTCCTCCAAGTTAACGGAAGGTTACGCACCAGTAGTCACCCTCAGGAGAGGCCAGCCGTGCTCCGGTGGTCTACCCAGCACAAAGGAAGCACTTCAGCTTCAGGACGTGGTGTTCACACACTGGGTCTTGTAAAAGGCTGGAAGTGGCCGGCGAGCACGAATTCTCGTGTGACCCATCCATGAACCCTGGATCTTGTCTGTGTGCTCAGGACCTCTTACCTCCCTATAACCCCCACAGCGTACATACTTTAAAGATCTGTCCTCCAATCCGTGCTCTGACTAAGAGTGACATCCCTGTAGATTCTTAGAAGACATGGCACCCATTCCCTGGCATAGTCCAGTGGCAGGTGGCATCAGGCCTGCCAGTGGCCAGCAGCCTCTCTTGGGTGTGTTGGCTCCTCTGGCTGCCTGCTGGATCACCTGGCCTCAACTCAGGCCTCGGCTCCATTCTCGTAACTGGTTCTTGTCTTCCTTCCACAGTCAGATCCCTTTCTGTTCATTCTAACCTGGCTCCTCAACGCTCTCAGTCCCGCTACCTGAGGCCTCCTAAGAGAGCCTGAGTGTGTGGGGGGGCCTCTCCTTTTTCTCTCCTGACTGTAGAAATGGCCTCTACCTAGATACCTAGATACTAGGGTACAGTTGAAGCCCACCAGTGTGTATGTATGGAACTTGGTTTTCAGTATCATCTTGTAGTCCTGTTGGCGAGGTGTGTGGACAGTGAGACAGGAGTAGTGAGTCGTCTAGAATGCCAGGGTTGCCGAGAAGTGCAGCCTTGGCCTCAGTCCCCTGATGCCCTGTAGTGTTTCAGAGGACCTGTTCTGGGTCTGTGCATGTCTAAGAAGAAAGGGGCAGTTAGGGTGCCATGGAAGAGCGTGACGCTCAGGGCATGTGTGAGGTGTGTTCCTTTAGCACTCACCTTGGCCAGGAGCTACTTAACAAGTTTTGAGATTGTAGTTTGGTTGGTTTTTGGTTTTTTGAGACAGGGTTTCTCTGTGTAGCTTTGGTGCCTATCCTGGAACGCCATGTAGCCCAGGCTGGCCTCGAACTCAGAGATCTGCCTGCTTCTGCCTCCCGAGTGCTGGGATTAAAGGAGTGCACCACCACCACCCGACCAGGTTTTGTGATCTTAAGTCCCATGTACAGCTGGTGGAAGATACCAGGAGTGTGAGAGAAGCCTTAGGAAACAGCCCCTACCCCTGTGCCTCTTGAGATGTGGATAAGAACAGGTCAGCTCCCAGCTCTTGCTGAGGAATGGGCCTCGCTGTTCACTAGATAGGACTGTCTGCTTGTCAGAGCTTGTAAGACTCAACCTTCTGGAAAGAAAAGGGAACTTTCCACAGTGAATGTTAACGTGTGTGTGCACGCGCACTTGCTCCAGCCTGTGTGTGTGTGCATGTGTGTTTACTTAGTGGAATTTTATTTTTGTGAAATTCCTTTCCGGTTGTTTAGCAGAATTCACCTGTATCTCCATGCCAAACTTTGGTTCCACAGTTATAACCCTAGGCATGGTGAATTTGGAATTCCTTTGGGATTCCTGATCTGGTGTTCTCTAGAGCTGAGATTGTTCAGAGGAGGGAGACACTGACGTTTTATACATTGCCTAGTTTACACCTGTAGGTTAAAAGGTCCCATGGCCTCAGCCAGGCTGTGTCTCTCTTGAGGGAGTCTAGTATCCCACCCCTAGGCACTTTTCACCCGGATCTTCACCCTGTAGAGGGAAAGCGGGCTTGTTTGCCTGCCCTAGTGCCCCGGCTGAAACAACAGGTCCTCCTTCTTCAGGTTCTGCGGGTTTCAGCTTCTGAGCACAGGCTGAGTGTCTGCTGTGTGCTTTGGTGATGGTACAGGGCTGCTTTGAGGAGGCAGCTGCGCCTGGGTTAGGGTGGGGTCCACTTAATTCGGAGCTCCCTGGGACTGCTTCCCTGAGCCTGGTCCTCTTGATGCCCTGCTGCTGACAAGCACGTTTCCACCAGCTGACCCAACACTACAATGCATTTTTAAAACTATATTTGCATCTAAGACAATAAAAAAAAACTTATTTTTTTTTTGAAAGCTTGTTCTGTGTGACCTTCAATGCTGCCCCTCCAGCAGTGGGAGGGATGACGTAAGGAGATCAGAGCCATGTGATGTCCTGGCCGTCCGGCTCTCTGCAGCCTGAGGAGATGAAAATTCAGCCAGGGATGTAGGTAGATGGAGTGGGTAGCAGGAGGATTCTAGAGGTGTGTCCCGGAAGATGATAGTCCTAGAGGCCTGCATGCAGAGAGCTGACGACAACTGGACATGGTGAGTCCTACCTGTGAGCTCTTACACCCAGTGGCACTCTGTGCCCATAATGTACATTACTATTAGCATGGCCTACACTACCAGCAGCTTTAAAAGGGTTCCAAGCCATGCTGATGACCAAGGACACAGTGAATCCCCTTGCTAACTGTTGACCCAGCACCCCAGACAGAATACTGAAACGTTGACCACTAGAGATGACCCTCCGTTCAGTGCTGAGAAGGTTCTGGTCATCTCTGTTTAGACTGGAAGCTTTTCTTTCTCCCCACCAGCCTCCCAAGTTGTTCACCTCAACCTGACTCCTCACACCTGGACAGAGTGGCCAACAAGAGCCAGCCTCTGGGAACTACTGGCTTTTTTCATGAGGTAACGGCCTAGATCTAAATCTGTTTACCTGAAACTCTGTGAGCTAATATACACTCTTATCTTGTCAAAACGCCACACCTCCGAGGGAAAAAAAAAAAAATTCATGACATGAGGCAAGCTGTTGGGTCTTGAGAACTGGAGGCCCTCCAGAGAAAGTGAGTGCTGCATAGGCTCATTAGTTAGCCAGAAGGACCTTGGTTTCCACTGTGCTACAGGAGGGCTGTCTGCTCTGTTCTTTTCAAAGTGTTGAATCCATCTCTATGTGTCTATGGGGGTCTAAAAAAATGCTACAAGAGGCAGAAGTTGGAGAAGGCCAAGCTTGCATGGACTGGAGAGCCAGTCCCAGCAGTTAAGGCAGCAGAGGCTGGGCTGAGGGAGGAGTGTGGTCGGTGTCCCAGAGCCCAGTTCCTAGGTGCGTAGGGAGCCCCTGCTGTGGGCAGACTTGAAGATGTATGTGTTTCCGAACAATCCTCAAATTCACGGGACGCTTATTCCTGTGTGACAGATGGAGGCCAAGGCTCCGTGGGCCTCAGGAGACCAAAAGGTCATCTTTGTCTTATAAATGGCCTCCTTATCCAGCAGGTGCCAAGCCCAAATCTGAGGCGTCCCCCTTGACGTCCTTGTCCGCTCTTCTCCTTTGTCCTTTAACACCAGACTTGGGTTCCCTTCTCAGCGCCGAGTCCACCCGCTTTCTTCCAGCCTGCTGTCATCACTCCATGCCTGGTTATATCACTTCCTACCTGACTGACACACAGGGTAGACTCCGGGCCGTCTGTCTGTCTCGGCCTCACGGTGGGACTTTCAGGGGCCCAAGCCCAGTCATGTCTCTGTGTCCAGCTTTCCAGACAAAGCTGCACCCCCCAACGCAAGCCCTCCCCCTGTCTCACCCATCTGGTGCCTGCTTGCCTCTGCAACCCCTTCTTTGTTCTTTGTAGTCCGCGCGCATGCAGTGCGTAGGTTAGTATTGTCTTATTCAGGGTTCCCCCAGGCACGTTTCCTACACCCAAACCCTTCCCCATCTTAATTCCTTTTTCCAGCTACTTCCTTTTTTATCCCCCCCATCAGGCCTTTCCTGGAAAGTAGTTTAATCAGGAGACAGGCCCCAATTCTCCTCCCTCCAACTCACCTGGCCTCAAGATGCCCCGTGTTCCTCAGAACACTGACGTGTTCGAGATCATCCAGTTTTTCTTCCCCGTGGGCTTCACAGCCCATTAGGACCAAGACTCACTGCTTCTTGTTCACTGTGGCTCCAGCACACAACGAGCAAACCGGGACCGAGGTAACCTGCCGATGAACTCTAGCCCCAGGCTTACTCACTGGCCACCCCACTGCCATTCCCGGAAACGGTGGAAGAAGAAAGATTTCTGAGTAAGAATTCCAGAAGAGAGGTCGGCAGTTAGCAAGTGTAAGTGGCAGGCTGAAGAGGATATCCACTATGATTACATAGGAAATTTTTAAAACATTTTTTAAAAATTGGTTATTTGAGCTGGAGAGTTGGCTCAGTGGTTAGGAACACTTGCTCTTACAGAGGACCTGGGTTTGATATCCAGCACCCACATGACAGCTCACAACCTCTGAGGGCACCAGGCATGCACGTGGTGCACAGACATAGGAAAAACACCCATGCACACAGACAAAGTCATTTCTGTTTTATGTGTATAGGTGTATCTGTATGTACTACCTGCATGCCTGGTGCCCAAGGACGCAGGAAGAGGACATTGGATCCCCTGGGTCTGGATGGTTGTGAGTTACCATGTAGGTGCTGGGAATCGAACCCAGATCTTACTGAAGAGCAGCCAGTGCTTTTAACTCGAGTAATTTAGGTTATAAGTATAAAAATAAACTCTAAATGGAATTACAGCATCATTTTGATATGAACTCTTCCCCACAGTACTAGTGATCAAACTCAGCCTTGAGCATGCTAGACAGACGCTCTACCACTGAGCTACATTCTTAACCTTTGATACTCTGAGATTGGCTTTCACTATATAGTTCAGGCTGACTCCAGCACACATGCTCAGGCCTTGGCCTACCAAGTGCTGAGGCCGAGTCTGAGGTGCACCCCTTGGCTTTGGACTTTGGGTTCTGTAGCTGCAGTTGCTTCTTGGATTTTGGTAGCTTATTTGTTTGTTTGTAGGTCAGGTCAGAATATAAATTCGTGGAGGACCTAACATTTAATGAACATGTCTTTGTTTGTTTGTTTGTTTTCTCTTTTTCAAGACAGGGTCTCACTATGTAGCTCTGACTATCCTGGAATTCACTATCTAGACCAGGATGGTCTTGAATTCATAGAGAGCCACCTGCCTCTGCCTCCCAAGTGCTAGGATTAAAGGCATGTGCCACCACCACCCAGCCCATGAACAAGTCTTTTTAGATGAGGTTCCCCATACACACACAGTAGTGGACAATAGTGTAATGAAAACCTAGTGATTTTAGGTGTCCTAATGGCCATCACCCTCTCCAGTGGTCAGCAAGGGACCAGTTTGCTTTCTACCCACTTTACCCTCATCTTCATTATTTTGAAGCAAATCCAGATACCATGTGGATTTCAACTGATAATAGCATTTTTTTTTTTTTTTTAATTAGTGGAGCATGGTGGCATATGCTTGTAATCTCAGCACTTGGGAGGACAAGACAAAGAGGTCTCTGAGTTCAGACCCAGCCTGGTCTACACAGCAAGTTTCAGGCCAGCCAGGAAACTACATGTAAGACCCTGTCTTAAACATGCAAACTAACAAAAATTCCCTCAAGTCCCCCACATTTCCAGAAATGCATTAATACCTGTTAAGTCATTCAGAAGGTCCTGACAGGTTACAGTAGATAAAAAACCTGGAGAACGGATCTGTGTAATTAATCAGATTTCTCTTTCACTGAATCATTAGCTAGACAACCCTTATTTAGAAAAGGAAAGAGCTTTCTAAGATAAGAGTTTACTTTCCTGCCTCAATGGCTGTGATACAGCAGGCTGCCTAATCTCTTTATCGAGTCTGATTGGGTACAGCTCCTGGGCTGTGTGGTTCCATTACAGTTGTCGTGGGGGGTGGGGTCTGAGGCAGCAGAGACTCCGCCACCCACTCAACCTACCAGCCCCATTCCACTGCAGTGGCTGCTGTCTCCTGAGTTACCCATGCCACTCATCAGTGGGGGTGTGATCGGCTCTCACTGGGACACTTAGAAGCACCTCCAGCACCTTCCCCTCCATCCCTGGGTGGCTGTCCCTACCCAGCATCTGCTCCCCTCTTCTGGTCCCCTTTGATCAATATCTGCACAGACAAGCCTAGGTTTGAGCTGAGGGTGGGGAGTTCGTCAGCAGTAACTTTCCTGGAGATCAGACAAAATAGACATTGACCCCAAGTGATGGGGTCAGCATATGGAGCTCGAGAGCCTGCAGGAGCTGAGGGTGATAGACAAGGAGTGCCCTTGTGGTAGCATGTGGGCCAGGAAGCTCCTCCCAAGCAAAGTTAGCCGGGCTGAGGAAGGCTCTCACAGGAGAGGCCTGCGGGGATAGAGTGCATTTCAAAGGAAGGAACGATTAGCAAAGCTTAATAACTTGACATCTCAGATTTTGGAGAGTTCTGCCTGCCCCAGGGTTTTTTCTTGTCACTTACCCTCCTCTGACTTTCTCGTTTTTATCTCCTTTGCCACTGACTCATTCCTTTCACAAATTTCTTTCTCAACTCTCTACTTCTCATCAACCTTTCTATAACTTTCAATCTCCCCCACCAAAAAAGTTGTTCATTCCCAACACGTGGCGCCACAGCACCGCCCGCCATCAATTACTGCCGTAAGCCAAAGCTTGGGGTTGGTTCCACCTTGATTCTTTCCTCGATTCATGTCTCACATCCTCACTTTCTGCACGTTTTCCAAAACACACACACAGATCCATTCGCCATCCTTCCGGAAGAAAGCCCACAGCCCTACTTTGACATTCACCATAACACAACCTCTGTCTCACGCCGCCTTCCTGTTGCATGACCCAGGCAGAGGAGCACCCACGGCTTGCCCGTCAGTCGCCCTGGTGATTCCCTCCCCCTTTGCCAATGTCGCCTCCCAGCCTCGCGGCTTTCTTCCTCCATGGTCTGGCCCGGCCTGGCGCAGCCCACCTTGGCCTTTGAACTCCCACCAGTGCTCCATTTCTGTCAGTCACTCGCGTCACATGCCGCCCTCCACTTGGTAATGTAACCTCCAGTACCACTCTCACGTCATTACCGTGGTGGCTGGAGGACAAGGCCCACAGCTCATGTTATCTGACATCTGTATGTCATGCATACAGCTTCTACACCCAGAGTACTTGGTAAGGTCATGATTTAAATCGAATCTACCACTACCTGTTAGCATAATGCAGCAGCCTGTGAAATAGCTACTATTATTACGCCCAATTTAGAGATAAGGAAGTTGAGGCTTGA